TTTTAGTGTCTGGCTGGCCTGAAGCCAGCCAGGAAGGAGGGCCACACCTCACATTATTCCGCCAGGCATTTCCATTGTTAAAAAACCACAGGCACCGTAAAGAAAGAGAAGGCAGCGTGAACTGCCAGCTTGCCTGCTGTCACTGCGGTGCTGAACGCGCAGATTTCTGGGGACTTGGTCTGAGAGCGGAGTGTTCATGCCGCCCTAGAAACCAGGAGCAAACGCCCAGGTCCCTGCCCGCAAGGGGCTTAGGTAAACTATTTAGACCTCTGACTGCTTTCGCCCCTAGAATTTGACGGACGCTGAGGATGTCACTGTGCCTTCCGCCTCTCCACCCCCGTCCAGCTACGAGCCCCTGTCGCATCCTCAAGCCATTACGGATTTCATCCCCATCCCAACCACAACCCGGACTCTGGTGCCCTGCCACCAGCCTGCCTCCGAAAGTTGAAAACCAACAACTGGGTTTCCACACCGTACGACGGTGGAGATATTGGTGAATCCACTCCACACGGAAGCCAGGCTCTGTCTGCAATGGAAGATTCCACAAAAGAAAAAGAGAGACGACGTCCCCACCCTCAGGGAGATTACCACCTAGCACGGGAGAGTAGGCTGTCAACGAGCAGCAACAAAACAGCATGTGGCTGTGATCTGGAGTGACTGGACAAAGGCTCTTAACTGAGTGGTCAGGGAAGCCTTTTGGAGGAGGTGACATTTAGGACAGGTCCAAACCACGAGCACTCAGATGGTGTTCTCTCCTCTAACGTGTCCCGCAGCCTGTCTCCTGGACTCAGAACCAGATGTCTCCCAGGAGCCCCCTGGACAAACTCCCCGCCTATCACGGGAATTCCTACCTCAGCTGCCTCCGCTTGGTTACCTCTGCAGACAGAGAACTCATACCCTCACAAGGAATCCCATTTCCTCCCTGGACGTTCTGTTCAAAACCTGCCCTATGGAAATCTGCCTCCCTTCAGCTTCTACTCCTTGGCCCTCTATAAGAGCCACAGGGAGCATTTCTGTCCCTGCTTCGGGCCCTCCTGGCCCTGCCAGACAGGGAAGAGCTGTGGCATCTTCCCAGCCATCTCCTCTCCCCGGGCACCTGAGTAGGAGAGAGCCTGCGGCCACCAGAGCTGCTGTGGGCACTGCCGGGGGGTGCCAACCCGCTGGGCAGCAGGCCTAGGCCCAGCCTCTCCCAAGCTCACGCTGTAGGATCCTGGGCCGGGTTTCAGGCTCCAGGACCCAGAGTCCCGGCCTTCCCATAGCAGGTGGGTGTGGGAGCCTCCCGGGGGCCCCGAACCGTGCGCGGACAGTACCTGTTGGAGGCAGAGAGCTCCTGTGAGGGCCAGGGCTGGCTGGAATCCCAGGAGAACTGCTGGGACGTTCCCAGGTGGTCTCTGGTCAAAGAAAGAAAAGAAACAAAAAATTGCTTTGAGAATGTCGCAAGGCAGAGCCCCAGAGTGTCAGAGAGCAGAACGAGACGGTCGGGGCTCAAGGAAACAGAGACTTGGCCGGTCAGCCTCCTCCCTAACCCTGGCCAGACAGGAGCCTGCTGTCCGCCCCCACGTCCACCTCCCCCCCGCACCCCACGGCAGCAGAGCACAGAGCGTCTCTCTGTGGCTGGGCCCAGGAGGAGGGGGAGGACATCTGGCCGGGACCTTCTGAACCGTCTCCCAGAGCTCCCCCGCCGCCAGGCTGCCAATTCATTCACCTCCACTTCTGTCCCAAGGGCTCCAATGCCACTCCACTGTTGCACCCCCAGCTGCCGACTGGACATCCCTCCCCGAATGCCACCTGAAACTCCAAAGCCACAGCAAGGAGCCCTGGCCCGGGGGTCTGTAAACAGACAGGGTCCTCTGCTGACTGGGGTGACTTCCAAGGTCCCTCCCGATTCCACAGGTCTACGTCTTGTTTGAACTATAACCTCTGCGCCTGCCAGGCCCCTCCCCCTTCCAGAGCCCAGCTATGCGCTTCAGCGCAGCTACCGTGTTGTCCCTGAACGCCACTTCACCCATCTCACTGCCGTGAGAAAGACGCCTTATAAAGTTATCCGGTGATAAAAATAATACTTTCTCACGGTACAGTGTGATCGTGCAGGAAAACAGAGAAGAAAATAAGCCTCTCTGTCACCCCACCACGCAGAGGTCACCGCCGCCGCCACTCCGGTGCCCATATGCCGATTTGTTTTCTGAGCATATGTTCGTCCTTAAAACAAAACAAAATCAAGCTGCACGTTCATTTCCTGTACCGACTTTGGTGAGTATCTTTCCAAAATCATTGACGGGCTGGACAGCACAGAGGGCAAGCTCCGTTTGCAGCGCCCGGTCTAGTGGCAAACCGCCTGGGCTGGGGTCCAGCCCTGCCTCTCGCCCCCGGTATGACCTCCGCACCTTGGTTTCCTCCTGCGTGAAGTGAGTCTGATGACGGAATCCACCCGAGGGAGGTGCTGTGTCAATGCTAAATGCTCACATACAAGCTTCTAATGTGAAGGTAAAGTTAGTCTGACATGTGGATACAACATGACTTAATCAAAAATTCCATTACTGAAAATCTGACTGCTTCGAACAGTAAAAACAAAATTGGGTTGTTCACACAGCTTTGCTCCTAAACTGCTGTGCAGCACTGGACAAGTCACATCACCTCTCTGGGCCTCTGATTCTTCCCCTACAGAGACTGGGCTAATGGGACTCAGGCCCCAACTCCAGCCCTCCAGCTCTGATTGGCAGTCTTTGACTGGGTTAAAGAAGTGTGAACCCCGGGCTCCAGGAGCAGCGTTTAACATCCCTTTCTGTCTTAACAGACAAAAAACAGAGCTGAGGGTGAGTCCGGAAAGCTGTTGGGAGGATGTGAACATAAACAAGAGACCAGTTGGGTCTTCTATGAGGGGAGTCAAGGAGAGAGGGTGCCAGCGGGCTCAGGGGCTCCCAGAAAGACACGCTGGCTGGCAAGAGAGCACCTGGAACTGGGGACCTTACCACGAAGCCCGCTCCTCTCTGCTTAGGCCCAAGGGCCCCAGAAAACGTCCCTAAGCTGAGTGACCTCTGGAATCACCTGGAGTCTGTGTTTTGTTTTTCTCAACTATAAAATGCGGATGATAATCGGACCCAACCAGGGTTGCAAAGAGCACTAAGTGGGTTAACACGTGCAAGGTGCTTAGGGTAACCTTGGGCAGGCAGCCATCGCTTTATCAGCGTTGAACAGAACGAAGACACCAGCCAGGTCGGAGAGTGCAAGGCGGGGGAGGTGAGAGGAGCACACAGCCTTCACATAAAGGGAGGCAGCGGGCCCCAGGGCAGACGCACCACCCAGCCTCGGGCTCCTTCTAAGGAGGCTTCTCTCCTGCCACGCGGTTGCCTCCAGGCCACAGGGCCACGCCTAGGCTCTCCTCTCCCACCTCCCTGCTGGGTCCCCGGACAGAACCCGGCCAGCTTCACCAGCAACTCCCTTTGTCACCCCCCTGCAACTGGTCCCCAGGGCCTGGAGACGCTCCCCTGAGTTACATTCCACGGCGCCTCCCGCCCCCCATCTCTGCCACGTGTAATCTGCCCCACAAAGCTGGTCGACCGAGTGAGGCCCCAGTGCTCTCACAGGAGATCACCGACCAGCGGAAAGCCCTGGCTGGCCCCTTTCCAACACGGCATGCAGAAGAGGTTCCAAACCCCGCAGTGCCCCTGGCGAGGGGCTCCGGAGTCCGGGCCTGTCCGTCCGCCTGTGCCGACCAACGTCCCACTGGCTTCACTCCAGGCCCAGTCACCCTGACCGGCTGATCTCTGAACACGCCTTTCCTGCGTGGTCTGCTCACCCGTGCCACCTGCTTCCTTCCCATCCCTGGGTCACGTCTTGTTCTTTCATCCAGTCTCAACTCAATGCTTCTCCTGCCATGCAGCCTTCCCAGATTGCTTTCCTTGTCGGCAGTCAAACCTCCAAACGCTCTAAGTGCGTGCTGTGGTGCACCCCCTAAACCCTGCCGCAACAGAGGGGCACAGCTGAGTCCCTTCTCAGGGCAATGTCCTGGGCCGAAGGGAGCTGCTTTACCAAGGCTACACCTGGCGTTGGGAATGCGGGGTGCACATCTAATCACCGGGGCATCAAAGGGGCATCGAAGGCCCACCAATCCCCTTGCCGCAAGCCAAACGACTCTGAAGGGCCCTCCCGCTTAGAGCTTTCCAGGGGGCTGCCCCAGGCCTTTCTGGTGACTGAATTGTTAGTGTGATGCTGCTTCCTCAAATTTGTCTGGGAACCTAAGACCCCCTCAATGCTCACCTTCTGCCCAGCAGCCTTCTAGGAAGCCGGCACTCCGCCTGCCCCTCAGGCGGCACCGATCTTAACCTTGGCGTCCACCGCGTCTCCGTGGGGGCTGGCGAGCGGCTCTCTGGGAAAGTCGGATGCGGCACCTGGCCTCATGGGGACGGGCATGGACGGCACAGGCAGATCCCCACCCGGTGCTTTCCTCAGCTCTCTAGGAACAGAGGGAAGCCCCCTTCCTCCTAAGCGCCCTCACAGAACCGTCCCCTGTGTGCTGCTGCCTCCACCCCTTTGGCAGCAGATGCCACTGACCTTGTTTTAAAGGGAAGCCCCGCCCGCTGGTGTGGGGACCCTGCTGTCTCACCTGCTGGCTGTGACAGGGCTCCTGACTGGGGCACCGACTCCTCTTTGTCCCATCCGAGTGTTAACCAGCCCCTCCCCTGCTTCGCTTCCGTGACCAGACAAGACCGGGCGTGTCCAGGGTGGTATGGCCGCAGACTGACTCCTCTCTCTATGCACGCACCCCACCCACTCATCCTCCGCTGCGTGCCTGCTGCCTGTGAGCCAGCACTGAGCGCCGGGACACAAGGGCAGAGCCTACCTGTAGGACATGCGACATCTAGCAGGGAAGCTGCTGCTGCCCGCTCCTCCCTCCAGCAGCCTCGAGCCCTCCAGGGAGGGGAGACGCCAGCAGCAGGTGACAGTATGGCACCAACCGGGTCAGGCAGCTGCAGGAGGGTACTCTGACACCAGAGGTAGACGCAGGCTTGCAGGTAGAACCCTGCTGTCCATGCTGGGTCCTGGTGGCAGGCCCTTTTCTCTGAACTCACTGGCCTGGGTCGCTCCCAGGACCCCGAGAAGCTAGAGTCCCTGTTGGTGCTGTACCTCTCCACTTCAGCCTCCACCCCGGTGCCATCTTGGACGACGCAGCCACCTGAAGGTTCAACCCAGTCCATCCCTGAGTCTCAACCACATCTGACCAACACGGAGACACTGCCAGCCTGGGGCACAGATGGTACCAGACTGGCCCAGGCCAGGCCACTGGGGCTCTGGCTAGGTGACCTCCCCAGCAGCAGTTTCCTAGAAATCACCCCAGTTGACCATACCACCCATAGGGAGGAAGCCGTTTCCAGGTCTTTTCCAGTTAAAAACTCCCTAATCTATTTATAGTGCCCAGGCTCCTCAGCTCAGTCAAAGCGAGACCGAAGTGGCAGCTCAGGGCCCAAGTGACCCCAGACTGGGGCCTTTTGCATTCTCTGGGCTTCGGGCCCTGTGGTCCTAGGTCATCCTAGGTGACCACCCAGACTCACAGCCATGCAGGCCCTGGAGCCTCCAGGAAGCGCAGTGAGGTCAGAGCAGAAGAGAGACACGCTCCGGGGTGCCCCCCCAACCCAACTCCCACAAAACACATTTCTTCCTGGTGGCAACTCCACTGGGACCTCTTTGGCTGAAACCACAGCAGGCAAACATACACAGATGAACTGACCATGAAGGAAACCAGCCCAAGGAAGGTCACTATTCCACTGTCAATGCTGAGAGCCAGAGATGCTAATTTTCTCATCGGCGGTTTACAGTGGCTGCCCCATGTAGAATAAAACTTGTACAGAGAGCTGGGAGCAGTAGCATGTGACTGTAGTTCCAGCTACCCAGTAGGACCGCTTGAGCCCAGGAGTTTGTGGCCAGCCTGGGCAACATGGCAGGATGCCCATCTATAAATAAATAAATGAATAATTTAAAAAACTTATAAAGAGACTATAGCTGAAAGGTTGAAAGCCATGTAAATTTGAATTTCAAAGCACAGATGCCCCTCTTTAAAATAATAATAATAATAATAATTTTTAAAAATGGTGAGCGAGGCAGGAGTTACTAATTTTAAACAGTCACTTAACCAGATTTCATTTCCCCCTGTTAAGACCACATCCTGCCTGTGTTAGGTATATCTGCCTCCAGTGGGAAAGCCACAGGGAGCCCCTAGACCTAGGCCACTGGTTATGGCAACTGGCCTTGGGCCCATCTGCAAGCCTCACCCCAGGGCCTCCTGGGAGTGGCTTAGGTGGTTTTCTTGGCTCGTGCTGGCTCTCTGCTGCCCCCAGTGGCTTTCAGGTAAAATAACCGCAGGTGCCAGCAAGGGCAGAATCCAGCTTTGGGGTCT